CCAACGGGTTGGGCCTTGAACATGCGGGCCGTGACACAATGGCAGTGATGGTGATGGTGATGGCAGTGGTGGTGGTGTCCGTGGAGGCGATGCGGAGCTGGTAGTGAGGTGGCGATGGTGGTGGTTGTCATGGTGGGGTACTGGTGGTGATGGCCATGATAAGATGGTATAGAAGTGGTGAAATCATATCTTGAGAATAAAAATAATATATCTTTCAAAATCTAAGGGGAAACAAAGATTTGTCATGGCCTAAAATCAGTCTAGAATCAAACGAAATCTAGCACTTTTTGCATTTCCTTTAAAATTAATGAGTTTTTTTATTCTAGACTAATTTTAGGCCATGACAAATCTTTGCTTCCCAAAATCAAAGGACTTGGATCAAGGTCTTCATATATATATATATATATATAGTTATTCTCTTATCCGAATGTCTGCACGTTATTATCGTACGGATGCTATTGTAAACAGGCAAGAAAGCAGAGAATTGTAGTACAAAATACATGGTATCCGCACGATAATAACGTCCAGAGATCCGCATAGGATAATTTTTTATATATAGTTATTCTCTTATCTGGATGTTTGCACGTTATTATCGTGCAGATGCTATTGTAAACATGCAGGAAAGCAGAGAGGGGTAGTACAAAATACTTGGCGTCCGCACAACGTCCAAATGTCCGCATAGGAGAATTTCTGTACATATATATATCTCTAAATTATAGGTAACATACTCCCTTAACCAAAAAAAAAAAAAAAGTTATTAATTGACTTGTGTTTTTACATACATGAGAGAGAGGTGCCAATTTTTTTGCCTTTTTGTTTATGAATCTAAGTTACAGGTAACATACGCTTTACCACTTATCTTTTTTATGTACCAAAGACATAGGTAGCATATAATGTTCGACTTATGTTTTTATGCACCTAAGTTATATGTAATTTAATATTCTGTTTTTCTATTTTTCCACCTTATTTATAGGTAAGATGTTTTGTGGTTTGTTCACCCAATGGTGCATATATATTTGTAGACTTAATATTGGATAAAATCTTAAGAACCCAACTCATGTCCCAAGATCTTGAACTTCATGATTCTCACAATAGCATTAGGCGGAAATTCAGTTAGACTTAAATTACATACATACCTTGAATGATTAGTCTTCTACCATATCAAGATATTTGTCTTGAGTGGTCCGTAGGCGAGCCGTTAGTGTGGAGGAAATAGATTTCTCTCTCTAACCTTTTGCACGTTAGAGAACCCTAATATGCGTTTTCATCAACGTACGCATAAGATGGGCATGTGCACTATTTTATGCAGAGAGAGGACCCGTTTCCTAGTAAAGCCCATAATCAATTACCACCCATCACGATAATAAAATAGGAAACTACTTCTCTTTATTTGACCAATATACTTATTCTGAATAATACTTATTAAACCAATTAAACAATTTATTTACCACATAGGTCACTTCATGTGGACCACACAGAATATTTATAAAATATTCTTACAATATTATCCTATGGTATAGGTATATTGTCCTATTGCCCATTACATAGGTATAATGTGTGAGTCTTACTTTCATTGATTAAATAGTATATATTAGGTAAATATTATTAAGGAAAGAATTCAAAATTCAATTACAAGGAAATAATGCATTAAATTTAGATTTTCAATATGAAAGTAAATAAAGTCAAAGGATATACATCTAAAACCAAAAACGTGTGGACTAAACTCAATGATAACTAATCGTTTTGAACCTAAATCTAAGAACCCCTATTATTTTTGTAATTTCCTAGTTTTAATGTTGAGGAGTATATGCTTCTATTTACCAATCTACCTACTTTTGTTTTTAATAAGTATATCCATTTTAATTTCTTGAACTTAATAAGAAGAGAAGTTCTGAAGAAGTGTATTTTCTACTTTTTGTCAAATGAAGAAGTGTATTTTCAGGAAGCACCTAAAATTAATTTTCCAAGTTGTGAATTTTTTGGAAGCAATTGGGCTTCTGTTTGAATAGAGATTTTTAACGAAAGAGCTCATTTTTACTCATCATCTTAACCCAAGTTGTACCATCATCATCATTATCAACTTACGTTTAGAAAATATCATTCTCAACACTTGACATGTGTCTATGGGCATAACCATGTTTTTGCCCATGAACAGTGGCGAAGCCAGGATTTCACATTAGAGGGGGTCTTTCACAAAAGTTTAATAATAATTCGAATAGGAGCCCTCAAGCGTTAACCAGTTAATAAGTTAATAATGTCATTTCATAGTGATTAATAATTTATCCATTTGTTACAATCATAATTGTTCTTTATTTCATATTTTAAAGTGGTTGAATGTTAATCTCGTCATCTACACTATTAAAGACTCAAATTTTAATAATTTATACTTCAACAAAGAGAATAAATTCAAAAAATGTTTATAAATCCTTATATTAAGGTGCCCTACTTAGACATGTAAAATGGGGGAGAGGGGAATTCACAAAACTTAAGCTAATCAAAAGAGGAAGAGAAAAAGAAAAAAAAATTAAGACTTTTTACTCCAAAAATCAAACATATAGCAACATATATAAGTAAAACTCTATGAAAATAAAAAATATATATGAGAGAGGGCCTGGGCTCACCCTGGTCCTTAGGTGGCTCCGCCATTGCCCATGAACACACAAGTGTTGAGAAATGTGATGAAGATACACCTTTGATTAAAGTGGTAAGCAAAATGAGTTGGATTTGACAAACATGGAAGGAAAATTTTAAAAAACATCATTTTCTCTATCTTACATTTTCCAAGTCGTGAATTTCTTGGAAGAAATGGGGCTTCCGTTTGGATGGAAATACTTTAAAGAAAGAGCTCATTTTTGCGCACCATTTTAA